AGGATGCAAATGAAAAATTCGTTGATTTCGTAGAAATTGCACAAGGCTTTGGTAGGAAAAGAAAAGAAGCACAAAAATATGTCTGATGAGGATTGGAAAGAGTTAGATCTCGAAGCACGAGCGTCGATTATCCTATACCTTGAGAGGGATGAAGTTTTCTTGGTGGATGGAGAGGAAACGGCTGCGGGTGTGTGGTCAAAGTTAGAGAGTACCTTCATGACGAAGAGTCTAATAAATTAGATCTACTTGAAATCCAAATTGTATACTTGCAAGATGGAGGAAGGATCATTAATCCGGGAATACATCAACAAGTTTGATAGGATCATATCGGATTTGAAGGATATTGATGTGACAGTAGAAGATAAGGATCAAGCACTTCTGCTTCTTCTATCTTTATCGAAGTCTTATGAAAACCTAGTACAAACATTGATGCTTGTAGTTCAGAACCCTGACGGATGTGAGAGACATGTTCTCGACTTATGAAAAAATCTTATCTCAATTGGTGCTTTGGACTCCGGTGCCTGCAAGATAGTTACAGAGAACGGAGTAAAGAAGGTTGTTCGAGGTTCCTTAGTAGTAATGAAGGGTATTCGTCATGGTAATCTATATACTCTCTCAGGTACGACAGTGATGGGAGATGCAACGGTTAGAACTGATAGAAGTGGTGGAGACCCATACGAGCACACTCGGTTATGGCATAGGCGACTTGGGCATATGTCAGAGAAAGGTCTATATTTGCTTGGTAAGGAAGGTTTGCTGAAGAACATGAAGAAACCTTGTATGGATTTTTGTGAGGATTGTGTGTACGGAAAGGCGCACAGGGTCTAGTTTTTAAAAAGCAAGCACAAGAGCAGAGGTATATTAGACTATGTGCATACAGATGTTTGGGGTCCAGCTCCGACAACTTCCAAGGGCGGTTCCAGGTATTTTGTTTTGTTTATAGATGATCATTCCAGGTATGTTTGGGTTTATTTTCTTGAGCACAAGAATAAGGTATGCGAGACATTCAAGAAGTGGAAATCAATGGTTAAGAACAGAACATGTAGGAAATTAAAGATACTGAGATCTAATAATAGTACAGAGTATACAGATGGTGTTTTTAAGAAGTTTTATGATCAGGAGGGTATTGCTCAACACTAGATAGTTAGGTTTACATCATAGTAGAATAGAGTCACAGAAAGATTGAACCGTACATTGCGGGAGAAAGCAATGAGTATGCGATCATATGTTGGTTTGGACAAAGAATGGTGGGCAGAAGTGGTTGCTACAGCTTGTTACATAGTGAATCGCTCTCCACATTCGACATTGGATGGTGATGTACCCTATCGGGTATGGTTAGGGAAGCATGCAGATTACGATAGGCATAGAATTTTTGGATGTATAGCCTACTATCACGTTAACGAGGGAAAGCTTGATGCGAGGGCCAAGAAGGCAATATTCTTGGGGTATGCAAAGGACGTAAAAGGCTATCATCTTTAGTGTACAAAAGATTCCAAGTTTGTGATAAGCAAAGATGTTACCTTTGATGAGAAATCTATGATAGCTTTATCAAAAGCTAGGACGTCCGGGGATGATGGTGTTGAGACTGTTGGGACCTTAAAATCCCTGGTGATTGAGATAGAACCTAAATACCAATCAGGTTTTAGTCGTATTCAAGAGGTGGATAATGGAGACACTCAGGAAAAGAGTGATGATGAGCTTGAACAGGAAGAGGTTCAAAAATGTACAGACACTACAACAACAACAACTCGAAGAAAGATTGGCTTCCACTAGGCCTAGGCGAGCATACAAGCAAGTTCAGAAGCTGGGGTCAGATCAACCTCTAAAGCACTATGGACAGGTAAATTTCATTGAGTACGCACTCTCAGTAGAGGATGATGAGTCGGTCACCTTCAAAGAAACTATTCGGGATAGGGATAGTGAGAGTTGGTTGGTTGCGATGGAGGAAGAGATAGAATCTCTCCGGAAGAACCAAACATGGGAGGTAGTCTCATTACCCGTAGGGAGGAAAGCTATTGGTTGTAAGTTGGTGTACAAGAGAAAGGAGGATCCTTCCGAGCTTGGCAGTACAAAATATAAGGCTAGACTAGTAGCTAAGGGGTTTGCACAAAGAGAGGGTGTGGATTACTATGAGATTTTTTCTCTAGTGGTGAAACACACTTCTATTCGGGTGCTATTAAGTATTGTTGCTCATGGTGATCTTGAACTAGAATAACTCGATGTCAAAACGTCATTCTTGCATGGAGACTTGGAGGAGGAAATCTATATGCATCGGTTTGAGGGTTACAAGGTTGAGGATAAGGAGAATCAGGTATATCGCTTTAGGAAATCACTTTATGGATTGAAACAATCTCCTCGGCAGTGGTACAAGCGATTTGACTCCTTCATGCTAAAGCATGGGTTCTCTAGAAGCGATTATGACTATTGTGTCTATCTTCGAAAGCTTCATGGAGTTGATTATATCTATCTTCTTTTATATATGGATGACATGCTTATTGCTTCGAGAAGTAAGGTAGAGATAGATATGTTAAAATCTCAATTTGGTAAAGAGTTTTAGATGAAGGACATGGGCGCTGTTAGGAAAATACTAGGAATTGATATTAGAAGAGAACAAGCAAATCGATGATTGTTCTTGAGTCAGAAAGGACTACATTGAGTGGGTTATCATAAGGTTTGGGATGCAAAGTGCTAAGTCGGTGGTAATTCCATTGGCTTCACACTTCAGGCTCTCAGGTAAACAATCCCCCACTACAAAGGAAAAGAAGGCACACATGGAGCGTGTACCTTATGCTAGTGCAGTTGGCAGTTTAATATACGCAATGGTATGTACACGCCTAGATATTTCACTGGCGGTCAGTGTTGTCGGTAGGTTTATGATGAATCCGGGAAAGAAACATTGGGAAGTAGCAAATGGGTCTTGATGTACTTGAAGGGTATCGTTGATACGGGTCTGTGCTTTGGTGGAGATACGTTGTCAGATTGATGGGTTTGTGGACTCGAATTATACGGGCGATCTAGACAGACGACGATCTACTACTGGTTATGTGATCAGAATACATAGTGCTCCAGTTAGTTGGTAATCGATGTTACATGCTACAGTGGTACTTTCTACTATAGAGGCTGAGTACATGGCTATGGCAGAGGGAGTGAAGGAACTATTATGGTTGTGGGGTCTTCTAGATGATTTGGGGGTTGAGCAAGCAGGATTGTGTAAACTTGTGGTGCAATAGTCAGAGTGCGATTCATTTGGCTAAGAATCAAGTTCATCATGCTCATACCAAGCATATCGACGTCAGGTATCATTTTGTGCGGGAGGTCATAAAGAAAGGTAATATTTCTCTCATGAAGGTGCACGCAAATGAGAATCCCGCAGACATGTTGACCAAGGTAGTGTGACAGGTAGCAAGTTTCAGCATTATTTTGACTTGCTTCATATCAGCCCGTGTTGATCTGCCTAAGAGGACATGGTCCTTCGGGACGGTGATAAGGTGAGATGGAGACTATATGGAGACTATGCAGAACTACGATTAGCTTGATCCTGATCAGAGGGTACGTAGGCAGCCATGGTATAATAGTGCAGCTAGTTTAGCCTGCCTTGGTGTTTCAGATCTATCTTGTGATGTTCACGATGTTCTTCTGGTGTTCGTCCAAAATTTAAGATTTATCAAATGATGTACAAGGTGGAGAATTGTGAACGAGACACCTGAAGGTGTCTCGCCACCCCAGACACCTCGGATTGTCTCACGATGATCTGAGATCGAGCAGGCGTGGATCTGAACAGCGGGCTTTCGGGTGGTTTTTTTGACCTGTTTTCTTTTGTATAAATAGGGATTCGTTCCTAGGTTTTTTAGCAGAGAAGAGGGGCTGTTGTCAACGAAAAAGAGAGAGTTTTTTAGATCTAAAAGGTGAGATCTTGAGGAGAGAAAAGATTGAGTGCTTGGAGAGATTTTACAAGAAAGAGGTCATCTTCTCTTGGGTATGAATCAAAGTTTCATCTTTGGAACGAGCTTGTGGGTTGTACAAGTCGTCGGTGTTCTCCATCATAGTGGAATCTCCCTTTACCCCTCCCCGGACGTAGGGAAGTTTGCCGAACCACGTAAATCTCGTGTTTCACTTATTATATTGGTTATTGCTCATGTTAGTTGGTTCCTTCAATATTTAGACTTAGATCTGATATTGGGAAGAGTGTATATCTCACATTGCTAAGATATTTCACTTCTGTTCTTGTTTCATATCGAAACTGGAACATTGAGATTGGCTTGTATTTTGTAAAAACAAAAGTCAAGGTTTTTCTCTCAAGATGATTCGCTTTCGCGGCGAGGTGGGCGTGTAAAGTCATGATCACCTACTGACAATGGGCAGCTTCCGCTGCCAATGGGCATGTACGCATATATCTCCCATTTATTTGGAAGCATCAAAGAAATGCTAATTAATACTCACTCCCACCTAATTACAACGTTTGTCTACAAATAAGCACATGTGAAGAGTTATTTTGGGGATGGCCCTATTATTACTTCCTGTATACATTCAATCAATATACAATTAAAAAAGTCATCACCTTACCTCACTCTGTATGCAAATATACAAAGTCAGCAACTTAATTAGTCACCAATAACTAGCTCTTGCTTAATTAAACATTACATATAAAGTCAGCCACCAATTGTGGTCTAGTGCATGCATCACATAGCCAATCCACGTCACCTTAGGAACTCTAAAATGTTTAATAGAGAATCACCCTCAATATATTATGCTCTCAAAAGTTGAAGTCTTCTCAAAAGAGAATTGTTGCCTGGCTCATGCTCTTTGACATAATTCCAAGTAAACTAGCTCTCTCTCTCTCTCTCTCTCTCTCTCTCTCTCTCTCAATAATAATAATAATAATAATAATAATAATAATAGTATATAATATTTCTTATACTCCAATGAAACCATGGATTATGAGGAAACCAGATTGGAGTAGTTTCTAATTAATTGCTTTCCTCTCTGTTATCCCTATAAGTACCACCACCATCCCCTCACATCTCGTTGCCCCCATCTCCTTACACAAACACAAACTTCTTTGTTCCTCTCTTAAGAAATAATGGTGATGGACTCGGGGTTGGCTGAGACAAAAAGAGAAGAAGACGAGGGCAAGTTTGTGAAAGGGGTAAGACATCTTTGCGAGAGTGGCATAACTAAGGTCCCTCACAAGTACATATTACCGGTCCCCGAGCGACCTGAGCCTAGAGAAGAGATGATTTCCAATCCGAAACTCAAATTGCCTATCATTGATCTTGCTCTGTTAGATACTCCGGACAGAAGTCAAGTTCTTCAAACAATGGCGAATTCTTGCGTGGAGTATGGCTTCTTTCAGGTACCAATAAACCCGGTCTTAATTTCCAAGTATATATCATGAGAAATGCTGTATTCAACGGCAAAAAAATGTAATCAACATTCGATACAATTTGATCTCTGTGGGTGTATACGTAGGTAGTGAACCATGGCATTGATAGAGAGCTTATCTCGAGAATGGTCGACGTCGGGAAGAGATTCTTCGAACTTCCTTTGGAGGAGACGGAGAAATATATGTCCAGTGATATAAGAGCTCCGGTGAGATATGGGACGAGCCTTAACCAACTAAAAGACGGTGTGTTATTTTGGAGAGATTTTCTCAAGCTCATTTGTCATCCTTTAGAGAATGTTCTTCAACAATGGCCTACTTCTCCCATGGACTTGAGGTAAGGCCTCAATTTTCTCTTCCTATCACTTTCTAAGAAAACTCAAGAGCAATAATGAATTATTTCTAAGATAACTCCGAGAATTATTTCTAAGATAACTCCGAGCGAGAAAGCTCCGTTAGAAGAGTTTTCATGAGCAAGTGGGCATGTGAGAATTAAGGAGAAAGATACATGTTCTAGAAAAAAAATTGATTCATGCATGTGAAAGATCTCGATCAGTTGTGATGACAACTGTTGGGAGTTGCTATCATGAATTAATGTTCCTCAACAAAACACCTTATCCTATGTTATTCTTGTGCATTCATAGCTAGAGATGCACACAAATTGAACACGAACACATTTGGGTACAATCATAAGTGAGTAGGGTAATTGGAGATTAGAAATGTACCTTTGTCTGATTTGAAGCACCCTACTCTTATGTAGGGTGATCTGTTAAGGTTCGTATTCAACACATATATTAGCAGTTTTTAAACACGTCATTAGACCAAAAGCAATGGTTCGAAAGAACAAATTTATGTGTCTTTTGCTAATCGAATTTATAAATGGTGCTTCGTGTTATACACCAAACAAAAATCTCTCAGTACTTTTAAGTTTCGACAGAGAAGGGAGTTTCCAAGAAATTTCATAAATTCATATTTCTATTGTACACGGGCAACAACCAGAGTAACATTTTTTCCACCTAAAATTTAGTGCTGATTCAGCTTTAAAGAAGGGGCTACCTCCTTTCTACTAATTTAAAAGAATAATTAAAAGTAAAAATAAGGGTTACTTGTACATAGAGCCTGTAATTTCATAAACTTCTCACCCATGTAGTTTTATTGTGGCTACGAGCTCTCCACGTTATTTTTGGAATCCTTTACCTTTTTTGGTAGTGGAGAGATCCGAATCCTTTTATCCTCGGTGGAATTTTTGGTAGATATTGCCCTGGTTGAAATTTGTGAGTCCACATGAGGGTAAAAGAGTCAAAAAATTTAATCCTTGAGATCCCTCTTTTCCCGTAAATAGTAAGTTCAAAAGAAGTGGTGACTAAAAAAAGGTAAGTTTAAAATATTAAGCTACAGGGAATCTATGTGCAATTAACCTTAAAAAATATGCAATTCATCAGAGAATTATATAATGTTATTAAACAGTTATTAATGTTTCAATATATTTGGGACGAAAAGGATATGGGAGTTTGTTTCGAATAAATTAAACTTTGAGATTTGTTCTGAATTGTACGATCATCTCTCTTCTGGTATGACAAAACCGTCTTATATTGGGGTAAACATTAAGATTTGCTGTGAATTAATTATTCGATCATCTTTCTTCTGACATGATAAAACTGCCTCATGTTATTAAGCAGTTATGATTTCGAAACCAAGCTAGATTAGTCTGTACTAAATTCCTCGTTACGAACAGGGAGGTGGCAGCTTCATATGCAAAGCAAACCAAATCGCTCTTCCTCATCCTGATGTCTTTAATCCTGGAGAACCTTGGAATCGACGACAACCGCAAACACGATGACGACTTTGATGACGGGACACACATGATGGTCCTAAACTGCTATCCTGCATGCCCGGAGCCGGACCTGACGTTCCTGACGCTCCTCCTCCAGCAAGATGCGGTTCACGGCCTCCAAGTTCAGTGCAAGGGAGAGTGGGTCACCGTCGAGCCTGTGCCCGGGTCAATTGTTGTTAACGTTGGTGATCACCTTGAGGTTGGCGCTTGGTTTATTGATTTTAGTCCTTAATTAATTTTTGTTTGATTAGTCTTATGCTTGGGTAAACTCTGGTTAATAATTTAAAAGTGTAATTATCTAACCTTTTTTTTAGGTCAGTCAAGAGTTTTTTTATTGGAAAATCCATGACGGCATCATATAAGGAACGGCTATAAATATTTTCGAGTATAAAAAAGATACGAGTCAAATGCAAAGAAATATAGTGTTTGCTATTATTATTGGAAGGGGAAAAAAATCTAACTGAAAAAATTAAGGGTTAATTTTAGAAAACACCTTGAACTTTGGAGTTATTGCAGATGCTGCCCACAAACTATTTTAATTCAAGAAAAATTTCGGTAAACCCACGAAATTCTGGGGTGTCTCATAAAATTCAAAGTTTTCTCATCAGAACCCCCACCTAGCTATAATTAACAAATAACTAAAATATTCTTGAGGAACCATCATATGAGATGAAAATTTCAGACGGCGTGGATGAGGCAGTTATTAATTATAAAGCCATAAATAACTAACAATTAGTTCTTAACACTACTTGCACCTCTGTTATTACCTTTAATCCAGATTTAACCACTAAAACATGACCTAATTAACATATTGATGGACTTTGACTTGTTCAGATATTCAGCAACGGGAAGTACAAGAGCGTCCTACACAGAGTCCTGGTCAACTCTTCAAGGTCAAGAATCTCCGTCGCCTCGCTCCACAGCCTCCCTTATGATACAATGGTCAGCCCATTGCCGGAGCTGGTCAACGACAAGAACCCCAAGCTCTACAAAGACACGGACTTCGCCTCCTTCTTGAATTTCATTTCCTCCAGCGAGACCAAGCACAAGAATTTCCTAGAGACAAGAAAGTTGAAGAACGAGACAAAGTAATGAAAGTCAACGCTTCTTTTGACTTCGAATTTTGGGGCTCTTGTACGGTTGCTAAGTGATCAACCATCGAGTAGTGGACGTATCTAGTAAGTAGGTAGAAAATTAGTACATATTGGAGATATATAAGTAAAGGGATATATAGTCCACAAGTGTATTGAACTATGCGGTTCTCTGCATCCTTTGTCCATTATTCTTTTGTCTCATTTCGTTGAGATTTAAAAGGATAAGTTCAGAAAGAAGAATATTTTTTACGTTAATGTTGATTGTTAAATTGTTATAGGAAACATATACCATACTACTACTGTAGTAATATAAATAAATAAATAGATAAACAGTATAAACGAACTTGAATAATTCTACACAAATTTGAGAAAGTAGTTTTCTTAAATTTTATCCTAGATGAAATTTCTTATTTTTGCTCGTTTTTTCAGCTGTTCAAAATTCTTGCAACTAAAAACTAGTTTGGGTAGCTTAACTAAGTGTTTAAAAAAAAGTTTTTCTAGTCATTGTAGATATTATTTGAGATATATCAGGAAAAAAATTAATGTTCAAAAATAAAGATGGGGTAATTAAAAACCACAGTTGACCTTAACCACCAAGTTTACTATAGAGTCCTCTAACCAAAATCTAACGTTTTCTAACCATTTTTCAAGCCATCTACACCTCTGTACTGTAATATAAACAGTAACCAAATCTGGCCCTCTACACTCAAAGGTACTATCTATGCTATAGTAATTTATTGTAGCATAAACAGTAAATCAAATCTGCTCATCCATGCTTGAAGTTACTATTTATCAGTATTACTGTATCATAAACAGTAAAGCAAATCAAATGTATTAAAACCTTAGTTCCCTCTTCAAGTATAGCGGAGTAAATATGATTTTCTAAATCAAATGTATTAAAACTTAGATTGAGTAGATATGATTTTTAATTTTAAACATATAATAATTAAATTAAATGCATTAAAACTTAGAGAGAAAAAAATTTCAAAATTTAGTGCTTAAGAAAATAAAGGGCGGTGCTTTGTACAGTGTGTGCACACTAGTATTAGCCTATTAGACAATCCCAATAGTGAAAGACCCATTGGACCAAACGGACCGGGCCTTTGATTTGAAGAACTAGTCGAGCCCAATTCAGATCAGTCCGAGCTCAAGCTGACTAAATCCCAAAAATAACGAAAAAAGAAAAGCAAGAGGAAGGAGGAGAAGCAAGAGGCACCTGAACAATCTCCTCCCCCCAATCATCCCCTCCAACGTACATTTTCTTCAATCTCAGATCTTGCGATCGATTCGCTTTTCAATTTTTTCATTTTCTTAGTTTCTCTTTTGAAAATTACAATGCCCTAAAGTTTCTATCTTGGTCTTGTTTCAGTTCAGGATGAGCTTGCAGTTTCCATTTAGGGTTTCTTTATTGAGTTTTAGGCTTAGGGCTCGTTCTCTGAAATTATGTAAAGAGCCGTTGATTGGAAAAGAAAAGAAATTTATTGAAAAAATAACGAAAAAACGAAATTGTGATAGTAACTTAAGACAATCACATGAAGCAATAAACTGAGGAAGGTCCTATTATTTATTCCTACATCGAATTCCTACCAAAACAATTGCAAAGTCAGGACCTCACCTCACTCTGATTTGTTTTATGCAAATACACAAGGTCAGAAACTTGATTACTCACCCCAAGTACTAACTATTGATTACTTAAACACTCTATACAAAGTCAGCCGCTACTAGGTAATCACCCATATTGTGTATTTTTTTTCCCCTTAAACGTTGAAGGCTTCTCAAAATGAGAATTTTTGGTGGCTTAGGCCTCTTTGACATTATGCCAAGTCTGCTCTCTGACACACACATGCATACATACTCCTGTGGAACCATGGATTATGAGAAAACAGGGGTTGGTTTAGTTTCTAATTGTTTTTTCTCTTTTTTAGCCTCTGTAAGTACCACCCAAGTCCCTCATTTCTCATTATCCCGTCACCTGACACAAAACACTAACTCTCTTTCTTCCTCTCAAAGAGACAGTAAAGGACTTAGTTGAGATGAAGAGAGAGGAGGATGAGGATCAATTGGAGAGATACATGAAATGGGTGACACACCTTTGTGAGAGTGGCATCACTAGGATTCCTAGGAAGTATATATTATCCGTTGCTGAGCAGCCTGAGACTAGAGAAGGAGAACTGCTCTGAAGCTCAAGTTGGAAGTTGCCTATTGTTGATTTGGCTCTATTACATCTGATAGAAGTCAAGTTCTTCAAAAATTGGCTAAATCATGTGAGGGACATGGCTTCTTTCAGGTACAAATAACTTGTCCAGATGAACAAATATATTGATTTAACCGTATTATACTTTCTAATCTTTTCAATATACGACCATATTCATATATGAACTTAGAACACGTATGTTCTGAATGCAGAATGCATTTAAGAGAATTTTCTCTATGTGGGTGTGTAGGTAGTGAACCATGGCATTGATAGAGAGCTTATTTCGAAAATGGTGAGCGTAGGGAAGAAATTCTTTGACCTTCCCATTGCGGAGAGGATGAAATATATGACGAGTGATACAAGAACTCCGGTGATATGTTAGATGAGCATTAACCAAGTCAAAGATGGTGTTTTATATTGGAGAGACTTCCTCAAGCTCACTTGTCATCCTTTAGAGAGAGTTCTTGAGTATTAGCCTTCTTCTCCCTTGGACTTGAGGTGAGGGCGTCACTTTTCTCTTTCATTCACTTTCTATGAAAATGCAAGCAATGAAGTAGTAATCTAAGAACACTCTTGAGTAAAAGTTACGTTGGGTAAGTTTCTTGAACAAGTTGGGGCGTCTGAGGAGCATACATGTGTTTGTAATTGATGCATGCATGTGAATGGTGCTAGTTGTTTTGACAACTGTTTATAGTTATTATCATAAATGTTCTTCACAAAGGAAGCAACTGCCATTTTTAGTTTGTATACATAAACATGCACACAAAGCATAAACTCAGAGAGTACAAAGCTTGCCAGAACCATAAGAACATTACATGAGATTATTGGTGTCGGGGGTGTTCTGAATAATACATGAGTAGAATACGAAGACAAGTTTTAATTCAAATGTCCCTTATGCGGGTTAGAACATCCTGCTCACATGCAGGGTATTCGGATAATACTTGTATTCAACAACATGCATCACAATTCTTAAAGCTGTCGTCCTGGAAAACTTACACCTTTCAACCTTGTAAACCATGATGTGCTTTTGACACCAAATAGAAAAAATCTCGCACCTTTAAATTACAAAGACAGCATCAAAGAAATTTTATTTTAAAAAAAAATCATGTCTACCATACAAGTGTGGTGACCAGACTAACAATTTTAGTCTTAAAGATCTATGTTTAGATTACTTTACAGAAGGGGCCACCTCTATTTTATAAGTATAAAAAAAGTGTACCTTCAACTTCCTATCCAATTAGATTTCAGGACAACTGATTCTTTAATCATAATCATCAGTTTTAATTATTTTAACAATAAATCCTAATTGTATATACATTACTGAAAATTTATAATTAGAAAATAATCTTTTCATTGTGCAGGGAGATAGTAACTTCATACGTAAAGCAAACCAATTCCCTCTTCCTCCTCATGTCTGCAACCCTCAAGACTATCGGAGTCGACAACTGTATTCTCTGAGATTTTGACAAAGATACACACATGATGGTCATCAACTATTATCCTGCATGCCTGGAGCCTGATCTGACACTTGAAAATCCGCCATGGTCATCAACAATTATCCTGCGTGCCTGGAGCCTGATCTGACATTTGGAAATCTGCCACATTCTGACTATGGCTTCCTCACCTCACTGTCGAGCCAGTCTGTGGGTCTTTTGTTGTTAATGTTGGTGATCGCCTTGAGGTTGGTAGTACTTTATTCTTTATTTTTTAATTTACTTGGCTTAATTTTTTGATCAGGAAAGCATTAGGCTAATGCAATAGCCTAATTACCTAACAAATATCTTCTTCGCTCATTGCAAGTAATGTAAATGGTGTAGGTTTTAGACTAAAACTTTAATTAACCGTCCATGATATTGATATCATCATAGGAAAATGCACTAGGAGTGCAAACAAACCGATATGATGTTTATCATGTCTATATATGCGCATCTATACATGTTCTGGTAAGGAAAATCCAGATACAGATCTGATAGTAGTAAAATAGACACCCAGACGAATCAGATATGAGAGAAACTGATAAAACTCAGGAGTGTATCAGCTATGTACTACATATTGTTGTCTAGATAAAGTAAAAAATTTCATGCCATAGTTCATCTATGCATTCAGGACAACGACAAATTTAAATTTAGATCTCTGAATCATGAAAATCAGTCTCAGACTAATTATTTTAACATAAAATAGTTTTAATATTATGTATCCAGGTAACTGCATCTAGAATCAGGTATCTACTTATTTTTATATTTATCCCATAAAATTTTAAAAGGATATCTGTAATCGAATGCATATCCGGTACCTGTCCAGATACAAATATTTCATGTCAACATAGTGAAAAAGCCATGAAAAAGACATAATTATTGTCACTATCACTTTAGTCTGAAAATTGCTGATCTGATGTGTCTGGGGCAGTTGGACATTTATAATACACTAAATTATTGATGAGTACTTCTTAATAATGTTTTGGCCCCTGTTTACTTTGATTTAGACTTAATCATTAATCAAATGTAAAATTTGCTGAGTTAAGCTAGTCTTTTATTAATAATATCGAAAATGTAAATAGAACATACCCAAATATAATATTTGAACTTCCAAATCGTAAATATATGCGCCATTGACTTTGTTGCAGTATATATGGACTACATAAAAATATTTTTTAATGATTTTGGTGTAGTTTCTTCTTCATGTATCAAGCAAAAAACATTATCCACTTTTATGAAAATCTGCAGAAACTATTTACAATTTATGATACTTGAGTAAACCATTTTAATATATCAGGTCTAAATATTACATTATTATTAACATTTTGAATACTATCGATAATAGTCTTAGCTCAGATATTAAACTTGTTATAATCATGTATAATGTAATGAATTTGACTTGTTCAGATATTTAGCAACTAGCGATACAAGAGCTTGCTGCACAGAGGCCCAGTCAACTCTTCACAGTCAAGAATCTCCATCATGTTGCTGCGCAGCCACCCATATGATGCAATAATTAACCCATCGCCTG